CGTGAAAACGATGATCGTCGTAGATGCGAGGAAGAATGTCATTATAAAATTCCTCTGATTTGAATTCAAAGCATTTTTCAGAATCTCCAATAGTTGCTTTTGATTGATTGTGGAGATAAAACTGATGATAATCATTCTTAATTCAATTTAATATTTCGTGTATACTTAAACAAAACTTAAATTAAATCAGTGCTTACATCAACATTGTTGAGGCATATAGTAAAGTTTCTATTTTTAGTTGGAAATATCTCAAATATAATTATTGTTAGGAAAAATAAGGGATTAAATTACGTACTTAGTTAACCGTTTTAATAAACATAACCAAACAGGCAATATCTGTTATGATAAGAATATTTATGTCTATAGCAACAAACAATGTTCCAGCCGGTTTTATATGAATTTCGTTATCTCATTATATATTCCAACTAAAAATTTATTACTGTTTTTATTTTATTTTAAATTTTTCTTTCATTTTTATATTAAATAAGTATGAAATTTCTGTATCATTTTCTTCATCGTATTCATGATGTTGCCAACATTAAATCATATTAAAAAAATTAATATTATCAAGTATTTAATATAAGAAAAATATACATTTTTTTCATGTCAAATATAAAAAAAAAAATTATGATTATATAAATATTATATAATAATTTAATAAATATAAAATGATTATAGAATTGGATGAAAATTACATCTTATAAATAATTTACAAAACTATGGACTAAATAAAATAAATGATTAAATATGTTTTTTGTCATTTAACTTTCATTAGAAATTGAAAATAAAATTTCAAAACTATCCAATTTATTCTTCCAACTTTAGATATAAGTAGATTTAATTATTTTACTTAAATTTTATTAAATTTATTTATAGTTTTAAATACATTTCATAATATTATTTGAGTTGTTTATATTGTTTAACATTTTTTCAATGTAATATTAACTTTTAATTATATGCAAATAAATACAAGTACTGAAACCGTATTTAAAACTCCAAAAAATACTATTTGTTTGTAAGAAAAAAACTATAACAAATGGAAGAATAATCATTCTTCAACTAAAATATACGGAGAGTTCTCCTTTCAGTTTCAAAACATAAATTACTTCATAAACTCAACATACTAAAAGTTTATATTCTTAAGAAAATTAAAAAAGTTCACATATTAATTAATTTTCTATAAAAATATCACCACACCAAATCAAAACAAATACAACATCTAACTATATTATCAATATTTACTCTGAATTAATTAAAATATAAAGCTTGTCATTGTATTATCCTTTTTATTATTCATATAATCATTTATTTAAATTTAACCATTTTCTAAATCAAAATACTTGTCTTTCTGCTTTCCTTTTTTGAATGGTTATTTATTCAAATTTAATTATTTTTCTAAATTTAATTATTTAATTATGATAAAAAAAACACACATGCTTGTAATTTATATGTTTTTCCTTAAGTATATTTACATTTGTATTTTCAAAGTATTGCTTATATATATATATATATATATATATATATATTTACTAGTACATTGTAATATAATTGTATACAAAATTTTTCTAAATAATATTAATAAGAATATGAGATAAATAAGTACGTGAAAATAATGGACAAAGTGGTAATTAAATTTAAATTATGTTTTAAAATTAATTAATTAATTCATATTATATTTTATTATGTGCCTTAAGGAAGTTATGTAATTAATGTTTAAGTGAGATGTTGCGGTGGAAGTTTTGGTGGGTGTGAGGCTTGGAACTGTGGGCAGTTGATGGAGTAGATTTGTGGGAGTTTCATCCCACACTTCTAATATCTCGTATAGAGCTCTTCAAATGAGTCACAATCCGTAGGTTAATTCGATTCATCATGAGTTTGAATTAAGTTGGGTTGGAAAAAATTGTTTTTGTTTTATGGGTCAAATTTCAATCCGGTTCATTTAAACTCGACTCATGCGGATTGAACCCGTGGTGGGCTGGATTGGCCCAAAAACCCACCAACCTAATTTTATTTTATTAAATTTAATTTTAATTTTATAAAAAAATATTTATTATTTTGTTTTTGCTTGAAAAAATTATATAAGTTCCTTATTTTCAAAATTAATTAAACACGGAAATGAAATTTGTTTAGATTTGAATTATAGAAAGTTTGTAATTTTTTTATTTAAAAAAATTGTAATTAAGTGAGCCAGTGAGCCAACCTTTTTACACACCAACCCGTGATAGGTCGAGCCGGATTCAAATTTTTCTGGTTCGCTAATAAATGAACCGGGTTGGGTTGGCTCATTAAATGACCAACCCGTGGTGGGCTGAGCCGGATCGGACCGGGTGACCTGTTTTGACAGCTCTAATCTCATCCTATACTTTCAACATTTTTTTAATGGGTTAAATATGTTTTTAGTCCCTAAACTATTGGCCGTTTCTGGTTTTCGTCCCTCTTTCAAAGTAAGGTACAATTTGGTCCTCATTCTTTTCGAAACGTTCGTTTTAGTCCTCAGAATTTTGGTTTTAGTCCTCATTTGTTGCTAAATGAGGACAAAATTTTTAAAAAGTGTTTAGTTTTTGACAACTAAAACGAACGTTTCGAAAAGAATGAGGATCAAATTGTACCTTACTTTGAAAGAGGGACGAAAACCAGAAACGGCCAATAGTTTAGGGACTAAAAACATATTTAACCCTTTTTTTAAGTTTTACTTTTAACTTTTTAAAATTTTATTGTGTACTTCCAATTTTTTCAAAAATTACATTTCTAACCTTAATAAATATCTTTATAATATTTTTATTAAAAGTATTATGTACCATCTTCATAATAATTTAATTTAACTTAAAATTCAAATATTATTTAATATAATTTTATATTTTAATGATTATTAAAATATGATTTATATTATAATAATAATTATATTAAAAAAATAAAAATAAAATAATTAAAATAAAAATAATAAAAGTAAAAGAAAAAAATAATATAAATTTTGATTTAATATATTTAAATATATTAAATTATATTCAAATATTAAAATAAATTAAATAATTATTAAATTTTAAATAAAAAACCAAAATTAAAAAAAAACTTGTTTATAGGATAAAATATGCTAACAATTTTGTTTTTTATTTAAAATTTAATAACTATTTAATTTAATTTAAAATTATAATATTATTTATTATATTTTTATATTTTAATAATTATTAAAATATGGTTTATATTTTTATAATAGTTTTATTAAAAAAATTAAAATAAGAATAACTAAAATAAGAGTAATAATAATGAAAATAAAAAAACAAAAACAAAAATAATATTTAAAATAATATATTTAAATATATTAAATTATATTAAAATATTAAATTAAATTAAGTAATTATTAAAATTTAAACAAAAAAATTTAAAAATATTTGTTAATCAGATATAGAAATCCCTTAACTTATGGTAACGAATATGATATCTGATAAATAATTATTTTTAAAATTTCATATTTTATTAAAAATTTAATATTTGTTTAATTTTATGTAATATTTTAATATAATTTAATATATTTAAATGTATTTAATCTGATTTTATATTTTTATTTTCTTTATTTTTATTATTTTTATTATTTTTATTATTTTTATTATTTTTATTATTTTTATTATTTTATTATTAGTTTTATTTTAATTATTTTATTTTTATCTTTTTAATATAACTATTATAATAATAGAAATTATATTTTAATAATTATTAAGATATAAATGTATATTAAATAGTATTAAAATGTTAAATTAAATTAAATTATTATTAAAAAGTAGATTGACTTTAATAGGAAATAAAAGTTGAAAAAGTATTTATTAAAATTAAAAATAAAATTTTTGAAAGAAATTGAAGGTCAATGTGACATGTTAAAGGTGTAGAGTAAAACATCAGGAAGTGAGCTTAGGAAATGTGGGGTGTCATTAACAATCTCATGAATTCTCTCCTTACTTCTCACAAATCAAAGGATTTCATCCCTCGTCTCCAATACTTCCAGCATCTCCAATTTTTCTTAAAATACCATAATATAAATTTTAAAATCCAACTAGATTTTCATAAGATTTCGAAAGCTATTAATATATATTTTGAAAAGAATAATGTTTTTAACTTTTTTTTTCCAAAATCCATTTAATATTTTTTTATTTAAAAATTAATAAATATTTTATTTAATTTAATATTTTTATGTAATTTAATATATTTAAATATATTAGAACGGAATTTATATTATAATAATAATAATAATTTTTTATTTTTATTATTTTTTATATTTTTAATTTTTTAATGGAATTATTATAATAATAAAAATAATATTTTAATAATTATTAAAGTATAAATATATATTAAATGAAAAACAAAATTTTAAAAAAGTTTGTTAAACAATCTGTTAACCAATTTCCAAATTTGTTTAACAATTTTTTTAAATTTGTTTTCAAAATTTTAATTTTAATAATAATTTAGTTTATTTAAAATTTTGACATTATATAATATATATTTATATTTTAATAATTATTAATATATAATTTCTGTTATTATATTAGTAATATTATAACAATCTTTATTCTTTTCTTCTTTTTACAATTCTTCTTCTTTGCAATTTTCTCTAACCGATATTAAGGGAGTTTTTTTTTTATGGATGTCAATTATATTTTTGTATTATTTCTTTATGTTTATTTTTACCGTTGATTTATATTCTTAACAAAAGTACACTTTCATTTTAATTTCTAGATATTATAGTAATGTTATTTTTTATAAAAAAATTGTTAAATTAATTTTTGGTAATATTGATTAGGAAAATACTTTTTGACAGCACAATTTTAATTCAAAAAGAAAATTAAAAGTACCAATATAAATAAGATCTTACCAAACCCAATCAATTATGGTGTCACTTTTAAATAAAAATTCAAAATTTGAATATAAATTTGCAATATTGATCACAGGCCCAAACATAATCATCTAGGCCCAAACAGTTTCCTCAAGGGAAAAAAATTTAGTTACAGAAAACCGAACACGCGACTATGGCATAACATAAAAGGTTGAGGTTGTCTTCTCTCTCTTCTCTGTGCTAAACAAACACCAACCTCAGTTGCGGTTAATCGAACCGTTTGATTAGTTGAGGTCATGGCGTTTTGGCACCGAATCGGAAAGGCGAAGCTCAGAACCCTCTGCACTCAATTCCAACGATCTTACATTTATCTTCACCATGCTCCTGCCCCCAAACCCTGCCATATGGACATTCCACGACCGAATTCTGTGTTTCATGCCAGACCTCCAAGCGTTTTCAGTACCGTGAGGTTCTTCGCTGCCCCTGTTCAGGTAATTGTTCACACTTTTTTATTGGCCGAGACTGCCAAAGTTGTTGTCTTTGCTCTGTATTTGGAACTGGGTTGCTCAGTGATGGATCATTTTACTTTAGATCAGGGTTGGTGTTGTGGGGTTCACCTTGGTGGTTGAAGTGGTACCCTTTTGAATTTGATTATATTTTTGCGGGACTTCAGTTTCAGGTAAAGCATAGGAATGAGGAGGATGATCCAAGTGAGCGACGGTTGAATGAGAAAATCAAAGCTCCATATGTCAGGCTTGTTGTGGATGATGGTAAACCTATTATTGCCCATTTGAATTGATGCTGGTTTGGTTGTTTACTTCTGTAATGTTTTAAGAGTAAATATAACATGCAATGTTAATATACAGAATTTTTACACCGTCTTTGAATCATCGGTAGTAATGTTTACTCTTTATCCTCTCAATGATTAATCTGTGGAGTTGCTGTAATGGAAAATTGCTAGAAGTTAAAGCTACCTAGCTATTTTTGCGATAAAGATATTACAGTTGTGCATCATAATGAGATAGCTGTTTTCTCTTGATTAAACTACTGCTACCAAGATAAACTGCAACTGAGCCTAGATCCTTGTTTAGGCTTAAGCTTTACTTGAATTACTTAAATAAACATAAATGAAAATTTGAACTATATTATTATTATTTAATACATGGGGCTTGGAATATCAGCTTTATGTGTTATTTACTTTACGAGTTTCCAATTAAATTTATGAGTTCACGCAGACCATTCAATAGTACCAAGGGTTGAAGCATTGGAACGTGCCAAGGCGCTTAAACTTGATTTAGTTGAGGTAACTGATTATTTTTGTCCTTTCCCTTGTTAAATTGAATGATACTTTTTTTTTTTTTTATATTGTAGTTATTAAGAATTTTTTCAAGAGATACCTGCAAAATAGAGATTTGAGTTAAAGTAGATAACATAATTTCATGAAAAATCATCATTTATTGAAGGATTTATTTATTTATTTTTGTATCCTTATAATCTTTTAAGTCATCCTGTTATGATGGATCTGGACAGTCATTGTAAGATCTAACCTTACATTGGGGCAAAAACAAAAACGTGTGTCTAACATTATGTAGTGATTGATTTCATCATCATGAACAGCACATCCTTAAAAACAGAGATATTTTATGATTAGTGGTAGATAACCTATAGACTCATGTATCAAATTTGTCTATCCATAAAGCATTAAAATTTGCATGAAGAAGGTTGGGAGGTTGGGCTAAGCACATAGAGGATGTTTCCCTTTTGACATTTATTGTATGAGAATTTGTTCATGTGACAGGTTGATAAAAGTGCTAAGCCTCCTGTCTGTAAAATTATGAACTTCAAGCAAGAAATGTATAAGCGACATGTAATGGAAAAGGAGCGTGCTAAAAGCAGGGTACAATATACTATGAATGTTGCTTTTGAAGCTTCTTTGTTGTCATTATTGATATATATTTTGTCATACTCATTTTAATTTGATAGTGGAATGTTCAAACATAGGAGTCTCTGTTAGCAAAAAAGTGAGACTGCATGAGAGTTTACCCTATTAGAATAAATGTGCCATATTATATGTTCAACATGTTGGCGACATAATTGGATATAAGTAGATAATGTTCAGGTGGAATTTAAATGGGGATTATGGGTATGAAAAGCTCCTAAATCACCACATACTATACAAATTACTATCACATACTTAGTTGTCATCTTTCTATGTCAAAATCAACTTGTTAAGTACGGAATTTACCATCAACAGTTGTATGCTTCTATTTGGAGTGAACTATCATGTCCCTGCTAACTTTGAAAGAATTTGACTCTGCTAGGTCTAGGTAAAAGAATCAGATTACTTGCTGCATATTGACCAGATACTGTAACATCTAACTGAAATTCAAATTCTTCAGAGACTTACTGGAAAACAAAGACTGTAAGAATGTGTTTTTCACACAACAAAATGACCAAGCTGACTGATTGTGCTTTCCTCTCATTATTCCAAATAATAATTATGATGCAGTCAGCTTTCTTATAGCAATGGTTTAAAAACGAAACCATATATAATACTAGGAACTAAAGGTGAATCTTTGCATTTTCAGATCAAAACAAATTTCCAATATTTTATGTACTTTTAATTTTAAAAGTAAAAACATATTTCATAATTAATTAGTGCTTTACTTTTTAATTACTTATAGTAATTAGTTGGTGCAACGGTAATTAGTGCTGGCTTAAAACCATTAAAAATGATTGCTTAACATTTAATTGGACCAACTGAGCAAGAGATTTTTCATGGTTTATTGATTGGTAGAATAAAAGCAGATACGACTGTCTACATTTATCCTCCCAAATCCTCGCTAGAGGAGTCTTGTGCCTGAGTTGCACTTATGTAGTCACTATTCTATTATGCATGTTTAGTGACTTGTGAAAGACAAATATTTATTTAGATCATTAGATGTAATATTCTTATTCTTAATCAGTTTTCTGACAAATGCAGGCTGACAAGACACTACGAAAGGATGTTAAAGAAGTGCGATTTTCTGAAAAAATTGTAAGTCTTTTCTATTTCCTTTTATTTTTCTATATCTTTTAAATGTTTTAGCAAACTACTATTATAAATTAAGTCTAGTAGCATGTTTGTTCTAGAATTATTTACTAGGTCTCCAATTGTGAGCTAGAAGCCCTTGCTTGTTCTGGCAATAGAAAATCCGACTTTCACATTTTCTAATTAAAAGCACATGTCTCGATATAAATCCATGGAACAGATTAATTTGGATACACGTCTCAATTATGTTGTATAGAATTAATTATACCTTATTTTAAATCAAACCTTAGCCAAGGCAATAAATGTTTTGGCCCAACCTTTTGGTATTGATGTTTCAAATGCAATTGAACTGGAATGCATGCTTTATCAGCTGGGCTAAATCTTATTCATTTTCAGCTCCTCTGTACTTGCTTTCTACGAAATAGGCCATGGCTTTTAGCATCTAACTCAAAAAAGTGCCCTGGTGAAGGCAATATGCCATTAAAGTTTCAATTTGTATGAAGAAATGTTGAACCTGCAAGATAGTATGTCTTTACAATTGTTTATATGTGTGTGTGTTGTGGCTAACTATGGTGTCTGGCTTCTGAGTGAGAGTCGTGTTTTACTAACTCATTCTGGAAAAGGAAAATTAGGTGGATTGAAATTTCTGCTGTTGATGTTTTCAGGGAGCACAAGACCTGAAGAACAAAGCAGACATGGTTAGAAAGTTAATGGAGAAGGGTTATCGAGTGAAGGTACTCTCTCTACTGTTTGGTTTTGAATTAGATTTCTATATTGTCTCTACAGTATTCAAGGAACAATGTTGTAATTGTAAGTTAAATATTAATATACTTTTTGTGGGATTAATTTTTGTACGTATGTAGTTGTTATTTATTTCTAATCAATTACATTTCTTTAAAGTACTATTATTATTTTTATTAATAAAAATATATGACACAAGTTATGCAATACATATTATATTAAAAGGAAAATATACATTTAAAATATATAATATGACAATGAAATATGTGTTTCACAAAGTTCAGGTAATGTTCAGGTACTTTTCATAGGGGCTGATGACATATTTGTTAATCATATCCTTTCAGAAAATCACATAGCTTAACATAACAGTATAGCATATTTTAATATTCATTTAAAAAAAACATAATGGATACTGATAGGAGACAAAATCCTTCCTGTTTCTAAACGGATGTATGAGTTACTGTGTCATGTACTGAGTTGGTGAATGATTTTGCAGAAATATGACTATTTTTGTCTATTTAAAACAGTGCAAGGTATCATCAAGCAAAGAAGATCAGGACTTGAAAGCATTATTTTCTCCTTTCATTGATCTGGTTTGATGATTCTTATTTTATTCTGTTTTTTTTCTCTGTCTGAACCATATTTTAAGTTTTTTTTTATACCTTTTCTCTACAAACCCTTCATTCTACATTTTAAAATTCATTTGCAGCTGGGAGATGTGTGCATTGTGGAAAGTGGACCATTTATGGCAAAAAAAGATGCATATATGATCGTCAGACACATTAAGTATGGGGTAGCGAAGAAAAGTGGGAAAAAATTTTCTAATGCAGCAAATATAGAGACTTCAACAGCTAATCCTAGTGATTCTGTTGAATATGAGAATCATGCAGAATCTGGATTTGAAACAGAGGAGGACCCCTCTGATGGCGACAAGCTTCCTGAAAGTTCCCGGTCTGCATTTAGCAGCAATATGAACATGACTTATTCTCCTGACTATCAAACAAATGCTGCTGCAGAATCAGCCTTTCTGTCAAGAAGTAATGATCCTGTATCTCCTCCTGTTTCTGAAAACAGGTATAGGAGAACTAAACCTCAAGGTGAAAATAACGTCCAATCTAATGCACAAGTGCCTCCTGCTGAGACTGAGAATAGGTACAAAAGAGCAGAGCCAAGAAACAGATTTCAGCAAACATCAAATAATATGAACAACTACCAAGGTCCAGGAACAAGAGATGCATTCAGGCCGCCCCCGAATCGGAATTGGCCAAGGCAAGCACCGGGAAATGTTAATTTTGATACCAGAATAGAAAATAACAGGCAAGCTTTCACTCCTCCTGGTTATGGCAATTTTAGAGGTCCAAATGGGGGTATCCCAAAGCATGCTGGTGCTCCCAATAGCCCAAGACCCAGTTATGGCAATTTCAGTGCTTCAAATGATGGCCTCCCCAAGCATCCCAATGCTCCTGATACTCCAAAGACCTTCTAGTTATGGCATTTCTAGTCCTCCAAAATGCCCTCAAACACAAGGTGTATCAAAGTCAATAGCATTCAACAAATAAGGGATGTTAGCAACTCAAATAGAGGAGGGTTGTATCAAGGTTGACCTACATAGGATGATTCATATATTTGAGTACAAATCTGGTGCAGTGACACATTACACTCTTTATAAACATGAAGCAATGGGTGACATCCTTCACCCCACAGTGCTTGCAGCTGTATTTTATTTACCTTAGATGACCCATGAAAAGGTCTATTTGGTGGGAATTTTGCATCATCTGATGTTTGTAGTTTTAGAAGGGAAGAACAATTTTAGATTTGTTTATTTATCTAACGGTGGAGAAGTGGAATTTTTAACTTTCCACTGATCACTGGAAGTTTTGATCTGTTCGACTTTTCATCTATCATTGTTTAATAATCATTTATTCCTATGATCAAAGTTATTAACATATGTATTGATTATTGTAAAAGTTATATCAGTAGTGATTTTTAATTGATTAATAATTTAACAATCTTTATATTAAAAGTAATCTCAGTATCTTTTCAACAATACTTTTATTGTATAAATTTGTAGTCCCGTCAATTTAAATCAACAGTGAAGATTTGTCTATACAAATGTTTTTATTTTTGCGTAATTAGTTCCAAAATTATTGATTCACTTTAGCTTTATTTTTAACAGAAATTTATGAAAACTTTTAAAATAAAATTGTGAAATTATTATTATATATATCCAGTTTAACAAATATGTTAAATAGTATTAAAAGATGGTTTAGTTACCGTATATTAACAGAATATTTTGTTCAATATGATTGGTTATATGATATATAAATATTATAAATATAACAAATTATATAGTTAATCTGGTTAAATAATATATAATTGTTATCACCATACCTCGTTAATGGTTAAATAATATATAATTGTTATCGTCATACCTCCATAAATATATGTAGTATTTTTCACGAAGAACTATCACATTCTCGTACTCACCATTCTATTTTTATAAATTGTAAAATTCTCTTTAGAGAATCTTTCTTTTACATATCCTATCACCTGTCTAAAGGTTTATGTTCTGAATTCCGTAAGAACAATTATAAATTCACAAAATTAAATTTCAAAATTCACATATTACTCCTTACAATATTTACGTGATAGTTAAATAAATTTGAACCAGTAATAAATAATGTATTAGAGAATTTATTATCTTGTGAAATACCATAAAAAATGAGGATTGAATGAGTAGTGGAAAGGGGAGTGCGAGAAGTAATTCCCTTGCTGGGCTCCAGGAAGTAGGAGCTGAACAGAACTGGCTATTCGAAAGCCCGTTCTTTAACGGTTCAAACTCCGTCCATAATGAGAATAATAATAAATAGCTAATTAAAATTAGTAGAAAATAATAGTGCTATGCTAATAGATGTGTATTAAGCAGCCTAAGTATAACTGTAAAACTGCATATGCCACCCTATATTTCGATTGTGATTGGAAGAGAGAATGAGGGAAGGTTTTGAGTTTGATAATGGCAAATGATAACTCGCTGCAACTAGAGAGCTATTAAAGAGTGTTTGTCTGCTTTCTCCTTTGCTGTGTTCGAAGCTCAGTTTTCAGATTTCGCCAGGCAAACCCTAACGCTTCCAATTTCGCTCAATAGAGTTATTTATTATTATTAATCTTATTTTTTATCATTCGCTTTTCCAATTAGGTTTCCATTCAGTTGTTATGCATTCTCACCAATGATTCCACACCATTAATTTAATTAGTTTTGCAGGTTTTGACCAAAAGGAGCTGTATAATAAACTATTGGAATTTGATTAGTAGAGTTACGATGGATTTTGACGAGTATGAATATTTAGAGAAAACAGTTGAAAATGCTGAAGTTAAGAAGGAGAAGCATAGGGCTAATGGTAGTGATAGAAGTGTGAAGTCTGAAGAGAGAGGGCATGGTCGGAGTATCAAGCATAAGAGTGGTGAGAAGGATGACGACGACGTTGAATTTCATTCCAGGCATTCAAAATCTGGAGATGATTCCCGCCATTATGAGAGGAAGAGAGAAAGAGGCTCCTCTCGGCACGGTTTGCAGTACAGAGATGGAGTGAAGGAGAAAGATCAGCACAGAAGCTCTGGGGGCAGTAAGGATAGGAAGAGGGATAGAGACAGAGATCATGAGAACAAGGATGGGAAGAGAGGTAGGGAAAGAGAGATAGATCGCGAGCGCGACCAAGAAAGGGATAGAAGGGACCGAGGAAGTGAGAGTGAACAAGAACACCGCAGCAGAAGTAGATCCGAAAGGCATCGGAGTGATCCGGAAGACAGAGACAGAGAAACAATTCTTGATAAAGACAGAGAAATAAGCCGGGATAAGGATTTCAGAGACAGAGAAAGGGTGAGGGAAACGAGGGAACGGGTTAGAGAAAGCAGGTATTCTTTCACATTAAAGTTTTATTCATTTTAGCTGCTGTGGTAGATTATCCATAATTTTGTCTGTGATAGTTATCTAGCTACCCTAGATTTTTGTTTCCTATTGACTTCTTACATCCATTGTGAACAGGGATTGTGCATATAATAATTTCTTTTCTGCTTCATCTCTTCTAGAGAGTTAACCTGCTCTGTCTGACGGGCATGCAGTGTGATATATACGTAAACAGTATTGCCCGTTTTCCCTTTCGCAGAGCATTGGATATGAAAAGGATGCAGAAATGCCACTGACAGCCACTTAATTAATGACCAGAGTATGTTTGGACAGACTTTTTCATAAGGACTACTAGGAGAGAAAAATATGAAGAAAAAAATGAAATTGACTTCTCCAAATTCTTATTTTTACCTTGTACATAGGATAATTAACTTACGGAGAAGTCAATTTCATTTTTCTCTCCTAGAAATCCTTGTGGAGAAGCTCGTTCAAATAGATCCTAAAATTCCTTTGTCTTTCTGTATAAAATCCCATATTGAAGATAGATGTATGCACCCTTGAAACTCCTTCACCTTCGTCATATTCATTGCCAAAATGTGATTCCTAAATTTCGTGTCTGTAAATAAGACATGAACAATTTGTAGGTAGGGACTATGTTTAATATCAATCTTGGATAAGTTATTCTTTTAATCTGCAATTTTAGATATCTCGAGAAGTAGTAGATATAGAAACAGTAACATTTTCCACTTCTGCTTTTAATCCGTTAATTCCCGCATACTCTTTGTGATATTACATGATCAGGTACTGCTATATAGAACACAGACACACTTCTTTAATAGCTTAAACTTTTAGGTAGATTGTTAATTCAATTTGGGAGTGTAGGACAGTCGCATTAGGAGGTTCGTGGCCTTGAAATTATCTATAAGCGATTTTAATGTCTGGTAACAGAATACAATATACAAGTTGTTTCTGGGTCCTAGATAAATCATAATAAGCTTTCCAGGTCTACTTGCTTGTTAACAAATTCTTTCATTTACTTCCTTTCTTCTATTCATTTATTTTATCATATTCACAATCCTTATAGTCGATGATATAATTATGCTTACAGTAATAGGTTTGTTGAGTCATTGATTAGATTTAGTATGGTGAATTTAATAGGCTGGGGTAATTGTGCCAAGATCAAGACTTTGGTATTTGGGTGAATCTTATTTAATTTTTAGTTTGGTTTGAACCCATTTTATGCACCTTAAGTTATGCAAATTCATATATATTCCCATATGTAGTATAGTTCTGTTAATCTTAAATGATCAGAAATGTGTTATCCTCTTGGCTATGAAGTTTAATCACCTACTCGTTTTTATAAATGGTATTTATTTTTTGTCCTTCTTTACTTGACATCATTGCTATTTGCATTTGATGCTCATGAGTTTGTCTTTGTTTGTGAAATAGGTTATTTTCTTGTCTCTCATCTCTAATTCGAGGATCGTTGTAGGTTTGTTTTACTGTTTGTATTGATTATAATATCTAAACTGGATTTGAGAATGGTGGTTTTTTAGTTGCATATAGTTTAGTTGTGCTGTTTAACAGCATTATAGCTTCTGACTATTGAATGTTAGATTCTAGGAACACGTGGATATGGTATAAAGGTCATCAAATGATCTTTGCCGAGGTACTGGAGCCTTAGGTCATTGGTTTCGAAAGTTTTCCCCTCCCGGAATCTATTTGAAAGTATGCATTGCAACCATTCATTGTTTGAATGGTTGTTGTAGTGGCGGTGATGCCATGCTGTTTATAATCCTTCCTTCTTGAAATTAGTTGCTTAATTGGATTTATTCTGTTGCAGAAATGCTGGTGATGGAGTAATGGGCAATGCTTAAGAGAAGCAATTCATCTTCTGATGCCTGTGGACAAAACCAATGTTCATTTGGCTACATGTTGATCACAGTTTTTGTCACTGCATGTATTAGATTGGTCACTGTGATTAATTGCGGGAAATATTAGATTTAGAAAGTTCTGCAATTCATAGCTTTAAAATAGCAGATAAAGTCCCTAAAACTGGTTTAAAATCTACCATCACATAGAGTCCAGCAATTCTGTTGTTCATGTCCAGAACTGGGTGCTCCATTGCAACATTAATTTTTTTGTTCACATAACAGGCATCTTGCTTTGATCAATGTGATTAAAGGCCTTTATGTTTTATATTGTTGGATTCTATTGATTTACCGGTTGCATGGCTAGGATGGTTTTTTTGTGTACTCTGCTGTCCTATTTCTGTTGATTCTTTCCTTCTGTTCAATCACATCACTAGCAATGTCCTATATAAAACTAGATTTTGTGTATTATAAAGGTTGTATTCACTTTATGCTTATGGTTCTTTTACTCGGTATATATAAGCTGTTAACAAGTTTCAACTTAATGCAATTAGGTCCCTCACTCTCTCGTACTGCCATCAATCCAAGTTGGTGATGCTGTTTCAATATAAGATTTTGTTTTATTTATAGAAGGTACAAAATCTCGTGTTAATAGCAATTGGATGACATTCATTCCCCTTTAATTACCGTTTCCATCAATCCACGGGTTTGATTCTTTTTTAGTTCAAGAATTAAAAGTCATAAATTAAAACCTGTTACATGGGGATTTCATGTTAACTTAATTTAGTTCCCTGCAGGCCTGTGTTCACGTGGATTTGGGCTTTATACATGTAAAGACCATTTGCTGCCATGTTGCGAATTTAAGGAACATGGAAATTTTGTGTTGGGAAATATGGTTTATGCAATAGTTTGTTAAATAGATGTTATCGTTATTTTCAAATCTGAACTGCTATAAAGAGATTGCTTGCATTCCAACAACTTGGGCTATAATTTTGTGCTTTGATTATGTTGTAGGCGACATAAAGAGAAAAAGGAAGAAGCAACACAACCTGATCCTGATCCTGAAAGAGATCAAAGAACTGTGTTCGCCTATCAGGTATTCGAAATACAGCTGGAATGCAATCACGTGATCTGTTTCTTATACTTCATTAATTGCCAGATCTAATCTTCAAAACATTTTCACAGATTTCTCTGAAAGCTGATGAAAGAGATGTATACGAGTTCTTCTCAAGGGCTGGCAAGGTCATACTATATTGCACTTTGTTTGCTAACAAAAAAATTGCTTTCCTATGCTATGGTAGCTGGCTTTGATTTTGTAGTTCAATACATGAAAGTGAATTCTGGAACAATTATTGAAAAACTGTTTGTTTCCTTTTGGCATTTTTATTGTAATAGATCCTTGTCTCCCTTAAATAATGTAAGAGAATAAACAAGAGATTGCCAGATAAAAATAAATCTCAGAAGCTTGTAATGCATTTCTCTGACAGAGTTTCAGAAGCAAATCTATTCTTGTTAAGACATGAATTTGTTTTAATTGCTTAATAGTGTAATGAATTTTGCACATCGGTAAATCCTATTGTATCTCATGTTAAGGAAATGTGAACTGCAATACTGACGTCAAATTACATTCAAATGATGTGTCACCTTATTACTTACTGATAGTGTATAGTTTTACATTGTTAGCTGTACCAAATTAAAACTTGTACCTTTTCGAAGTGTGTCTTGTTTTTTCCAACCCCCTCCCCCGTCCTTCCATTTTTCTTTATTCTTCTTTGCAAAAGTTGGAGTTTTTGGACCTATTTTTCATTGACATATCTAGTTTACTATTTCAAGGTACGGGATGTTCGCTTGATTATGGACCGGAATTCTAGGCGTTCTAAGGGTGTTGGGTAAGCACAAGACAACTGTGATCTGAACTAAATTAACTTTGTACCTTTTATTTATGCATGAAAAAAGCAACATCAAAAGGCTGTTGGAAGGAGAGTTAGCAACTTGCACCTAAATTAATCTTGTATGAATTCTGTGAACATTAACTTAGGATTGAACGAATATAAGACCTGATATTTTGTGAAGAAAATGTAAAATTAAAACTTGTTGTCATTACATGCACATATTCGACGTGAGTATTAGAGAATCTAACCCAACTTTTCAATCTTACAGGGCTCATTGTGTTGTGGACGGTGACAAATTTATGCCAAGATTCTATTAATTAGGGATATCTTTATTTTTATTTTATCAATTAGGATAATTGTTAAGGATATCTTTGTAGTCATTTTAAGGACAGACTTGATTGAAATTTTGTGAGTGAGAATTTTATTTTTTCAGAAAAGCTTGTATTAGTAGTTTAGAAGTGCTCTCTTATGGTTGAGTGTGCTTCTCACTTCCCTGTAGGTCAGTAGAAGGAGTCTTTAGACTCTACACCAGTGTCTTAATCTTTTACAAAGGTCCATAACACAGTGATGGTCTAAATTAACTCCTTTAATGTTCTTACCTAATGTTCTCCCGCATATGTACGTATGCACGCATACGTGTATGTATAAAGGTATATCTGTGATAGAACTTGTTTGAATCCAAAGAAAATAATGATTTTTATTGATGAACCCTAGATCCTGAATGCTGTGGCACTGTGGTAGCAGCCTCAAAATAGGGTTAGCGGATACAAAACTGATTTATAAGTAGAATTCTCTCTCAATCTCGCCTCTTGATTTACATGTATTAAGTTTTGTTTATTTTACTATCTCAGTCTTGCCCGCTAACCTAATCCAGGTAAACTCCCTCACTAATACACATCTAACTGACTATAAACAGGTATCTATCAATCTGATGCCTAAAGGTATAAGTCTCTACCATGATAACGATCCTTGTTATTTTCCGTTTCATGATGTATATAGACCGGGGTGTGTATTTACATTATAATGTGACCAGTCAATAATTACAATCATTACAATCATTTTGTCAATTGTTGTAAGTGAAAACGATTAATAATCATAAAAAATTATATATTTAAGGTAGACAGTGTAAACCTCATCTTTATTGGATTTGTATATGACTATGTACTGCTTTCTCTTATGCAGGTATATTGAGTTTTATGATGCCATGTCTGTCCCAATGGCAATAGCTCTTTCAGGCCAACCTGTCCTAGGTCAACCAGTGATGGTGAAGCCGTCAGAAGCAGAAAAGAATTTGGTTCAGTCCACAACATCTGTTGCTGGTGGATCCACTGGACTTATAGGTCCGTATTCTGGAGGAGCAAGAAGGCTCTATGTTGGAAATCTGCATATCAGTATGAGTGAAGCTGATATTCGCAAGGTGATCACTTGTTTATTTTGACCTTGGAAAATTATTGGTGCATTTTTTGAATGAGATTCTAGAACTGGTTGACTTAAAAGGGTCTTCATCCTATGATGCAATGCAAGAGTTGAATGAGATTACTCCCTGAACTGATAAATTATCTCCTCCTTCTCTTTTGCTCGTGCCTCTTCTTTTCCTCATGTTACATTTCTTTCTGATTACTTGAAAGTCAATATTTTGCTTTCGATACCAGTTTGATAATAGTGTACATTCCAATCGATTGTATTATTCTTTTAAACTCCTTTGTTAAATTGTATAGGTATTTGAAGCATTTGGTCAGGTTGAGCTAGTCCAGCTGCCTCTCGATGAAAGTGGGCACTGCAAAGGTTTTGGCTTTGTACAGGTGAATTTTGTATCTAGTAGCAATAATTGGGCAATTGCTCACTCTACATGGAAACTTTTAATGAATTTAAACCAAGGTAGAACCTCCCTATGGACCCACTGGAGTCATGATCTACTTGTGAATGAAGTTGCTACTGGGTTCTGATGTTATCATACTACTAGCTTTATCATAATACTTTTTGCAAGCTGTACTTTTTCCAACTATGTAGGTTAACTAAACTTTTTATTGTAGTTTGCACGCCTTGAAGATGCCAGAAATGCTCAGAGCTTGAATGGTCAATTAGAGATTGGTGGTCGAACAATCAAGGTACTGTTGAATTGTTCATAAATTTAAGTTTGGTAAACCTTCTTTTACTAAAATTAGGCTTTATAAGTTTGGGTCCTATTAAATTTTATAAAATGTGAATAGTGGAAATGTCTTAATGAGAAGTCAGCTTATGGACTACTTTTAATTTGTATCTCGATCTTGTGCTATATCTAACTGAGTGCATAGACTGTGTGTAGCAAACTAGTTGAGTAGTCATGCATTCTGATTCTTGCCGTTAGGTTGCTTAACTGATGGAGTCTTGATTGAACCCTTATACCTTTTATATTCTAAGTTGCTATCCGGACCAGTTTCTTGGAAAGAATTTGTTTTTCCAGTTAGTGAATCTTGCAGATGATTTTATTTTACTTTTAGGGTAGGCAGAATCTTGTAGTTTGTACTCATTTTTGTTACCTCGGGCAAGGATAATAATGTATTATTGTACTAGAATAGTGTTAAAAGTAAAACAGGAACCGGAAAGGAATGTATATCTTTGTGGTTGTTTGTTTTTCATTTGAACTTGAGTTTATTTATCTGTATGTAAACTTTCAGTTGCTGTTACTGATCAATCTGGAATGAATTAGGTATCGGCTGTTACTGATCAATCTGGAATGCTAGAGGCTGGAGGAAATACTGGTGATTTTGATGATGATGATGAAGGAGGTGGCTTGGTAAGTAATCTATGAAAATTGGTTATGAACTATTGAAATTTTACTAATTACACATCGCCCTGATGTTTTGAAATCCAACATGGAACTCCATTATGCAGTCTAAGTTGAAGCAGTCACATTCATAACAGATTAATCACATTCAAGTGGTGTGGTTATACTGTAATTGAATTTGGGTGATCTACTATTTTTTGCTGGGGTAATGTAAACTTTATTTGAAATATATATATAGGAACCTGAACGATTATTCTGAGGATTATTATTTGGGAACTAGTGCTAGCTAAATACTTCACATGTTTTAAACCTGAAAGATTGGCTGTTCATGTTCTGAAATCTGAATATTGGAAGATTGGATTATTTTTGTGCAGCGTTTTTTAATCTTAGTAATTTCGAAAATTATATTATCAAATGGTCTGCTATCAGTGATTACTAGGTTTGAATTTAGACCCTGCTTTCTTCAGCAGATTATATTAATATAATGCTTTGAATTGAAGTATATCGAAATTTTCTTTTGCACCTGAAAGAAGTCTCCTCTCCCTATTTCTTTTGACATATACAGAATTACAATGGTATTGGTATTCAATAAACCACAATCGATGTGAAGTATTATCTTAACCAAAATATTCATTTCTGTCTGAAAACTTGTATTAACTGGTTCTTTTTTCTTTTTTTTTTAATTTTATTTGTTGATTATAACAGAATTTAACTCGTGCTAATTGTAATAGAAGCCATACTGTTTTAGCTGACCATTCTGAAATTTCAGTCATTGAATGCATGTTCTCGAGCAATACTAATGCAGAAGTTGGATCGTAGTGGCACTGCATCAAGGTTTGTCCCCTGCCATTTTGGCTTTTCACATGTCAAGATCAATATGAATAATCACTATCTCACTCGTGCATTTCTTGACAGCATGGTTGGTTCCCTGGGTAATTCTATTGTCAACAACACAGGTCTTAATCTACCAGCAACAGGAAACATACTTGCAGCTGTGCCCGCGGGTTCTCCCCTTTCTTCTATTCCTGCAGTATCTGGGTTGTCAGGTGGAGGTCTCCAAATTCCCACGGCTACAATTCCTACTATTGATACAATCGGTGTTCCAAGTGAATGCTTAATGTTAAAGAACATGTTTGATCCCAAGGACGAGGTGGTTAAATTGCATCTATACTTCGTATAATTTTTCATCATTTTTTGTCTAATAATATTACCGGCTTGATGTGCTGTAGACTGAACCTGATTTTGATTTGGATATTAAAGAAGATGTTGAAGCAGAATGCTCTAAGTTTGGGACGTTAAAACATATATATGTTGATAAGTGAGTAAACTAGTGATCATTGTGCTCATCATTTAATTATGAGACTACAAGTTTGTGGCGTTTTCATGTATTTATTATTTTAATGATCATCAGGAAGAGTGCTGGTTTTGTCTACTTACGTTTTGAAGATACCCAATCTGCAATAAGTGCTCAGCGGTCCTTGCACGGACGATGGTTTGCTGGGAAGATGATCACAGCGAGCTTCATGGTACATTTCATGGCCTTTATTTCTCTTTTTTATTTTTTGAATATCCACAAAATTGATGAACATCTTTTCCTGAACGAAAATATATTAAATCCTGTTTATGCTGGCAGGTGCCTCAGTCATACGAAGATAAATTCCCGGACAGCAGATAAACTGATGAATTGTTGCATGATGCGAAATCTCGTGGCCGAAATAATCATCTTCAGAATTATATAACGGCTTTTACTTGTCTTGGATTGGCTAAAAGGAGCTGTTTATAAAACTCGCATAAATTTTTTGGGGGTGTTTTTTATAAGAGTCTGTTACAGTAATACTGTTGTGGCTGGGAAGTGGTATTGATTGGAACAAAGGTTTTGTGATGATGCTACAAACATTGATGTAATTCAACTTAGGCTGTTGCCAATCACAGTTTTGATGTATCCTCACTTTCTTTGTGGATCCATTGGTATAAGCCTGAGAGGAAACCCCCATAATCTGTTGGTCAACATGTTTCGGTCACTAGTGCATTTTTCTACCTAGTGTCTATTCTATATTTTTATTTTTTTTACTTTCCTCTGTTTCCACTAAAAAAGAATAACAAGGGCAACAAAAGTTTAACAAATATTTTAAAGGTACAGAAATAAAATATAAAAATGCAGCCATAGTTTAAGACTTTGTTTAAGAAACCTAATGAAGTATTTATAAATCTTTCTGTTTTACTATTTTCATTTTTAAATCATATCAAATACATATATGTTACTTATGAGATGGGCTATTTTTCTTGTCAAACAAGGATATCATTTTATTCATTCATTCCCACTCAATTTATATTTTCTCATTAAATTGCTCCGATTGGGGTGTGACATCCTGCATGACGACATTCAGTCATAATGCTCCCATGCTAATAATGATACCGAACACTACCATCTTTATCCAATTATAATACAAACACACACATATAAATACTATTTATCGGGATCACTCAATCCAATTGAAGGGAGAGAGACAGAATTAGTAATGGAAAGAGAAATAGTTGAAGATATTGTGATTGTGGGGGCTGGAATTGCTGGCCTCACAACATCCTTAGGACTTCACAGGTATCTTTTCCACTTCCTTCACTCCCAAACCATTTTTCTATGTCTTCCTTATTACTTTATATGTTTCACTTATACTCACAGGTTGGGCATCCCAAGCTTGGTGTTGGAATCTTCGGACACTTTGAGGGTCACTGGCTTTGCTTTGTCCATATGGCAAAATGCTTGGAAGGCTTTGGATGCTGTCGGTGTTGGAGACATCCTCCGCCGCCAACATCTCCAGCTCAATGGGTATGTACATGCACTCACACCTTTTAAACTTTCTTCTCTCAGTATCATTCATTTTTCTCTAAACTAAACTGCAAGAATTGGACTACAGGATTGTTGCCACTTCATTGGTTACAGGGAAACAAACAGCAGCCATACCTTTCAGAGCAACAGGAAATCGGAAGTAAGTATACCCTATGAATTGTTCATTTTTGTAGAGGGCGTGGTTGTTAAATTTGATACAAATTCTTACTATGGTTGGTGTTTTTGTGATGATGTAGAGATATTGAAATTCGTTGTGTTAAAAGGAAGGCATTGTTGGAAGCTCTTGTCAATGAGCTTCCAAGAGGCACCATCAGATATTCGTCAAAAGTTGTTGGTATTGAGGAATCTGGCTTCTATAAGATACTCCATCTTGCTGATGGGACAACCATCAAAACCAAGGTAAGTAGTATGCGTAACAAGTCATGAGAAATAAGCATGGATATTTCATGTAAGAGAAGCAAACAAGGGAACCAATTGTTATGAATCCAAAGTTAGTAAACTCCAAATAATACTTGGATGTTTTCAATGGTAATAGGTGTTGATTGGGTGTGATGGAGTGAACTCCATGGTGGCAAAGTGGCTAGGCTTCAAGAAGGCCTCTTTTACTGGGAGATATGCAATCAGAGGTTGTGCAGAGGTCAACAGCAGTCACGGGTTAGAACCCAAGTTCATGCAGTATGTTGGAAAAGGTTTTAGAGCTGGTGTTATTCCTTGTGATGAGAAGACCGTTTACTGGTTTTTCACTTGGACACCAACCAGCCAAGGTGAATTTTCAAATACATGCTTGTTATCTTTATCTTATTACATTTAACATCATTCATACCATTGTTTTTTGTGAAGTAGAGAAAGAGCTAAAAGAGAACCCTGCCCAAATGAAAGAGTATGTGTTGAAGAAGCTTGAAAATATGGCAAGCGATGTTAGATACTACATAGAAAACACTAAAGAGGATGCCTTCCTATTAGCTCCATTGAGATATAGGAATCCCTGGGAGGTGATGATGGGGAATGTTAGCAGAGACAATGTTTGTGTTGGTGGAGATGCTTTCCACCCCATGACTCCAGACCTTGGTCAAGGAGGGTGTTGTGCCTTGGAAGATGGGGTTATTTTAGCAAGGTGTCTGGCTGAGGCATTCTCCAAAGAGGCAAGAAAAGATGGGAAAGAGAAGGAAGAAGAAGAGGAAGAGGAGGAACAGAAAAGGATTGAAGAAAGCTTGAAGAAATATGCAAAGGAGAGAAGATGGAGAAGCATTGATGTCATTGCTACAGCTTATGTGGTGGGTTTTATTCAGCAAGCTGAGTCCAATCTTGTTAGCTTTTTAAGGGACAAGGTTTTGGCTTCATTTTTAGCCATTCAATTGTTCAAAAAGTCAAGTTATGATTGTGGGAAACTAGATAATTCCTAGGTAAGATGGAAGATATCAAGTGAATTTCATTGAGGTAATGGAATAAATTTGATTGTGTATTAACATGTTTAACATAATTTATAATTAAAAAATTATTTAATATAAAAATAGTTTTTCAAAAATATAAATTAAGTTGAAATGAAAATAAAATTATATTAAAATAAATTATCAAAGTTTAAATTGATTAATTTTAGGATTAAATATGTTTTTTATAGGTTAACTTTTAGTGAAAATTAAAATTAATCTTTTTCAAAAAATTTATCAAATTTAATCTCTTAAATATGAAATTGTGTGTGATCACTTTTTCTTTTTAAGTTGAAAAATAATTTTAAAACGTCAAATAAATTTAATAAAATTGTAAAATAAAATTTTGATAAATTTTTTGAAAATAAACTAATTCTAATTTGTATGGACTAATTTTAATTGTTATGGACAAAAACATATTTAATATTTAGTTTTATCATTTACTTTAATATTTTTATTTTAATTATTTATTTTATTGTAATAATAAAATATATTTATGAATATTTAATTATTATACATCATTTGTCAATTTAAAAATGTAATAAAATAATTTAGAATTTAGTTAAGTTAATTTAATTATTTCTTGTAAGATTAATTATTAAATATTATAACAAATTATTGTATAAAGTATTAAAATTCAAAATATTTTATTTATTATTGTAATATTTAGTTATTTATTATATTATAATTTTAAATCAAATATATTTATTAAAATATAATTGATTATACAATAGAATATTTACATATAATCAATTATATCTCATGTCATAATACATTGATTATGTTTGATTTTGAAAATATCTTTTACACATTTGAGAGGGAAGTTTACAAAAAGAAAAAAAGAAATTCTCATTTTTTGTGCTTTTATGTTTTGGATTTTACATTTTTTTCTCGTAAATACACACTTTTTGTATTTCTCGTGTTAGGAAGAAACAGAGGCTAAGTGATAAAAATAAGTTACATTTATTTACTTGAAGAACAAATTTTGAAAATTGGAATGATCTATTGTAATTTTTGTTTCTTTTTTATATAACTCTTTTATGTATTACTCATTGATACTCTCTTTCATATTTAATTCTTCTCCTATTTTCGTATTAAATTTCACTTGTAATTTCATGATCTTCTTTCTTTATTATTTTTGTTTCCGTATAATTGTTGGAACCGAGATACGCACCTGATGAATGACGTCTTAACCTTCTCGCAAAACAGTTATCCCTATAATTTCCTCTTGCACAGGATTCTTCGAAGAGAATGGAGTGGGTACCTGCGAAGGCGCTCCGACACTCAAGTCAGAAAAAGGAATGACGGAACCTTTTTGGTTCAATAATCAAATCAATCTTTTCTCTCTTCTTCCTCCTATTATTCAAAACGTATCTGTTTCTTTTCTGGTTTTTCGTATTTAACCTAAAAGTAAGATAAACTGTTTACCTAAAAATCCGGTTAGTTGGAAAACTCAACCGCTTGGTCGTGCCTTTCATCTTTGATACTGGGTTAGTTAGTTCCGTGATTTGTGCTATCATGGCCAGATATTTCTAACCACTTATTCCTTAGTTTATCCGGGTTAACTGATCCAGTCTGAATAAAGCTGACCGAGCGTCTGTTGACTCTTAGCTTGACTGGGTTGATTTGACCCATGCTGATAGTTTGGTTTAAGTAACGGACGATCACTATTAAAACGATCGATGTTAGGGGCGACATTGACGAGCCTACGATATGACGATCGTTTCGCTAGCATTATCTTCTATGATATTGCGATCGTTCTGTCTAGGATGTTGACGATCTTTTGGAAGTGATTGTTTGAGTACTTGTTAATATCTGGCCTGTTTACTATTGGTAGTCGTCCGGGTAAAAGCGGTCATTCAATCGCTCGTTCGGTTTATTGTTGATAATCGCTAGACCATACAATTTCCATAGCAAGTATTAATGACAAATTATTATGTAATTTCAGTTAAACACTAACTTCTAATTCTAAAAATTATTTATTATGGTAGGATTTTTGTCAGTTGAGTTGGTAGATTTTAATAAATTCATTACTCAAGCCGTTAAAAAAACACCAGATTAACTTAATTATGGTTTTATATGTTTTATGTTAAACTCGACAAATTTTAAAATTAATTGGATTGAGCTAAGTTAACTGGATCAAGATTTCTTTTTAATTTATAATTTTTAAATATTAACTTAATTCAAATGTAACTAATTTTTTATAAAAATTATTTTCAAAATTTTAAGTAAGACGATAAATGAAATCATAATAAATTTATTCAAATTAATTCAAAACATAACATAAAATAAAAGTGTAATATATTTATTCTTAATACAAATATAAATATGAGCCTTCATGAATCATTTATACTAAATCAGTCAATCAATTTATATTAGAGTGAGATAGATTAAGAGTCAAATTTAATTCAATCATAAATAAACTGACACAATTTAAAGTTGAGTTAAGTTATTAAAAAAACTAAAAAAATAAACATCTTAAATTATAATATTTATCATGACCTTATCTTAAATAAATTATTTTAATATTTTTATCCATTCACGTAAGTAATTAATTCGAGTTTTTGAAGCCTTAATCTAGTAATATGATAGATGTAAAAAAACGAGGTTATTCGATGTACTATCATTCTTTTGAAAATGTGAGATGTTGTCAAGATTTTGTAGAGAAATTTTATATATGTATTATTCTTTTATATTCCTCTAAAAAAATATTTTGAAAATTTTGATATATAA